AATGGACGAACAACCATGACTTTCCGCCGCAGCTTACAACCGGTGAGCAAAGAAGAAGAACCAGAAAAAGGGTAAACATTAACTAACCTGCTATGGTGCAATCTCACCTGCGTGTGTATGGGAGAAAAATATAACCTTCTAGGTCACCTTGACTTACCTGTTTCAGAGTAGCTGTGTCAACTCCTTGAGACGCGCTTGTTGAAGCGTGACGTCTTTGCTGTGTGTGTCATCTCTCCTCTTTCTCTCTCTCTCTCTCTTTCTCTCTCTCTCTCTCTCTCTCTCTCTCAGTGTCTCACGCATACATGAACACACACACACACACACACAAACACATACAAGGGCTGTTCACAAGTTCCCCACTTGTCAAGAGGGATGTGTCAGCCTCGTTTGACTGCATCATACCAGGACCGTCTTTAATATTGAAGACAGACCCGAACTGACCCTGTGAGGCCGGAAGCTATGGCCAGGCTCTCTGAGCACCCAGCTTTGTATTTTTTTGGGGAGGGGGCGAGGTCGGGGGAGGTGATAAGGGTTAAGGCTCACTTATAATTCAAATAGCGCTGATATTGGTTGAATGAAGACCTCATCAACCACACAGCTACGAGGAAACCAAAACAGCACTAAAGCAGTCTTTCAAGCGGGAGTGGAGAAGGCAGAACGGACATTACAGACCAGAGAGTGACAGCATAAATAAACTCAACCGGAAAGAGTAAACATCAATTTTTTGGCTTCGGACATGACACTATGGTCTTCGAGCACACCTGCACAGGATAGGCATAAAAGAATCTGCTGCCTGTGATGTGGAGCAGAAAGACAGACCCCTGAGCACATACTGCAGTACTGCCCTAACCTCTCCCAGCAAAGACTGGGGATCTGGCCCAATGAAGCAACATTGCAAGAGAAGCTATGGGGGACCGGTGGCGACCTTAAACGCACAATCCTTTTTGTGACCCAGACGGGACTCAATGTTTAGCAAGACCCACAGAAGAAGAAGTTAAGTAAAGGTCCTTTTTCCACGTCTTACGGCTTATATGCCATATAGGACTATAGTTTTTAGACCAGTCAGCACTTGGTGGGTAGTGTGGTCATCATCACGCCGGATCTGGTAATAGTAAAGTTAAGATCACTTTTCACGCCCTTAGGCGCATCGGGCATATGGGAAGAGCGCCCTTACTTTTACAGACCAATCGGCAATAGGTGTGTAATGTGGTCAGCACTGCACCGGCCGTCTTTACTTCCCCAGGACAGCTATCCTGGGACCCATTTTAGGTTGGGTCGACCCTCGACGCCCCATACCATAAAGAAAAAACAACCACGCAGCAGTGGGTTTCGATCGCGGTCCGCTGGAATTACGAGTCGGTCTCGCAACGCCTAAGCCACGGACGCCGTAGACCTGGAAATGCAGTGTGAAAACATCAATGTGATGGTTGACATTGTTTTGTCTTGATGATATCCGCTAGTTTTAGTCAGCTCTAGGACAAGGCCAAGCGGAGATCACTCTCTATACCAAGCCGGTAGCGCTGTTTTGGTTTTATGACTGTTTATTTATTTTAAATGGGAGTCGCCGTTGCCTTGGCGGCTAGACGCCCGCCTGCGGGATGGAAGGTCGCTGGTTCGCGTCCTGACGAAGCCGGACTTTTTTCCCCTTCAAAAATTACCTTCTCCCAGGGTCGACCCAGCTTTGAGTGGGTACCAGGTGCAGTCCTCGGAAGTAAAGGTGATGCTAACCACATCACCCACTGAGTGTTGATTGATCTATAAAAACGCCTAAGCCACGGACGCCGTAGACCTGGAAATGCAGTGTGAAAACATCAATGTGATGGTTGACATTGTTTTGTCTTGATGATATCCGCTAGTTTTAGTCAGCTCTAGGACAAGGCCAAGCGGAGATCACTCTCTATACCAAGCCGGTAGCGCTGTTTTGGTTTTATGACTGTTTATTTATTTTAAATGGGAGTCGCCGTTGCCTTGGCGGCTAGACGCCCGCCTGCGGGATGGAAGGTCGCTGGTTCGCGTCCTGACGAAGCCGGACTTTTTTCCCCTTCAAAAATTACCTTCTCCCAGGGTCGACCCAGCTTTGAGTGGGTACCAGGTGCAGTCCTCGGAAGTAAAGGTGATGCTAACCACATCACCCACTGAGTGTTGATTGATCTATAAAAATATAGGTCTAGCCCCATATTCCCTTTACGCCTAGAGATGTGGAAAAGGTAATTGTACTAACTTTACTAATATTTTATATGTATAAAAAATTTAAAATCCCCCGTGTGAGTTCCGGAGCCCGATGGTGGACAAAACTAGAATAGACCCACCACCTTCCCAACAAGCATGTCGTAAGAGTCGACTAATTGGTAGTTTCCTTCGAAGTCTGAGTGCATCTGCCTGAGAGGCTTGAAACAAACAGTCTGCATACAAATAGGTACGATCTGTAAAATGGATGTCCACGCAACATTAAGGTTCTGGAACAATTCTTAAATCCAGAGGTAGGTAAACAGCCAGAAATTTCCGCCGGAAATTACAGCCGGTGAACGTGAAGAAGACAGAAGACACTAAAAAATGTTTCTGGTCAAAACTGGCTTAAGGGAAGCGACTACAATATATATAGCACAATTTACTAGTTATTTGCTCTTTGCAACCAACTGCGCATTGAATTGTTTATATACATATAGAGTGTATATACATTTTTATTTGTTTATTTATATTTATATATAGGGGGCTGCGTGGTCTCGAGGCATGGTGTCCACCTTGAGTGCTAGTGGTTCCGGCTTCAATCCCAAGTAAGGGCTGGGATTTTTTTCACGTGGACTTGGACTTCTAGTAATCTCCCCGGGTCTCTGGGTAGTGAGATCGGACGCCCTTGTACATTGTTGCGCACGTGAAAAATCACTTGGCAGTTGCAAATCAAAAAGAGTAGTCTAACAGCGCTGCACGGGAAAAAAATTGGGAGTTAAAAATATACCCAAAGTATTTCAGAATCCTCGCCGGTGCTACAGAACCTGTGCACTGTGCTGAGCTTCTTCAGACTCAGACTTGAGTTAGCAGAAAGAACGGAGCACTTATGGGTTACTCCCCGTGTGCCATGATGTTGGTCCGTTGTTTAAACCTCAAACCTCACTTGTTTTTTTTAGAAGGGCAGAATGCATGCGCGTGACAATTCTCAACCGTTTGAAAAAGGCATGTTGTGATAGACATTTAATTAGGTAGTAATTAGGTATGTTTCTTTCGAAGTCAGAGTGCAACTGCCCGAGAGACGAGAAACCAACAGTCTGCATATAATAAGCCAGATTTATAAAACGAATGTGCATGTAAAACTCAAGTTATAGAATAAGACCAAAGTGTAGAGGTGAACGAACGACCAGAATTTTCCGCTGGCGTTTACAGCGAAGAAAAAGGAGAAACAAGGTTTAGATGATTTAGACGACTGATCAACATAATGGCACAAGGGGTAACCCATAAGTGCTCTGTTCTACTTCTGACTCAAGCCTGAGTCCGAAGAATCTCAGCGCAGTGCACGAACTCCGTAGCACCGGCGAGGATCCTGAAATACCTTGTAGATACCCCCTCCAGTTTTTTTCCCTTTGTAGTAGTAGAGGCCTATCTTGAGATCTTCTGCGCACCTATAATTCCTATAGAAGAGTGGCTCTCAACCTTGGCAATGCCGTGACCCTTTAAAACAGTTCCTCATGTTGTGGTGACCTTACGAAAAAACTACAGTTCATTTATTCGTTCTTCTTCTGCTTCATTTTTCATTGCAGGAAGCTGGTGTCAGCACGCAAACTGATTCATGGTATCGAAGTTCGCAAATTGTGGAGAGGCCTGATCGCCCACGCCAGTCAGCAAGGCACGTGATGATGATGATCATCGTTCTCAATTTTTACAGAACGTTTTTACGATAAAATTATTCTATTACACACACACACACACACACAATTCTATTTTTGTTCTTACAGCTTTCAGCCTGGCGTTGATTCCGAGAGCCGTTAAGTAGAGCAAAGTAAACAGTAAAGGGCCCTTTTCCACGCCTTCAGTGGTATTAGGCATATAGGGCTAGACCTATATTTTATAAACCAGTTGGGGGGGGGGTGATATGGTCATCTTCCCCCTCCCCCCCCCCCGGTCGTCTTTACCTCTCAGGACTTTCATATGGCACCCACTTAAGGTTGGGTCGACCTGGGAAGCAAGGTCAAGTTTGATCAGTATTACGCTGCCTTTACTTCCAATGATTGAAATGGATGTGGTGGCTATGATGTGTTGCTTTTTAGGACATACCGTTCTTATGCTTCGAAGTCTTGAGAGTTTCATTTTTGATGGTCTCTATGGCGACGTGGCTGAGCCGTCTGGCTCGCGCTCTGAATGTCGCGAGTTCAATTCACGGACGCGTCGTTCAGTTTGTGAGTGCTGTTTTTACGGAGATCCACGGAGATCGTCGCTGCAGCTACACAGTTCGTGCTTTATGCGAAGCACTCGCTAGCTGGCTAGCCATTCTGCAGGGAAGAAAAACCGCTTCTCTCTCAGATTCAACTTTCATTCTCGTTGTTGTTGTTGCTACACAAGAAAGTTAGAAAGACAATAACCAGCTTTGTTTCTTATCTATTCTTTACGTTGCGTTTTATTAGTGTGCTTACAGTATCAGTAGCGTCACAGTCGGTTTATAAATAGGATAATCGGTTTACAATTGTGACAGTCCGGTTATAATTGGGACATTCTGGTTATAGTTGTAATAGTCAGGCTAGAATTGTGAGAGTCTGGTTAGAAATGTGACACAGCAAAGGTAATGAGTGTGGCGTCAGCTTACAGTAGCAGCAAGAGTGCGATAAATTCGGTATCCAACAGCTTACAGTAGCAGCAAGAGTGCGATAAATTCGGTATCCAACAGCTTACAGTAGCAGCAAGAGTGCGATAAATTCGGCATCAAACAGCTTACAGTAGCAGCAAGAGTGCGATAAATTCGGTATCCAACAGCTTACAGTAGCAGCAAGAGTGATATAAATTCGGCATCCAACTTATTTAATTGGCTCACATTTTGTGGACACATTGGCAGGAAAGTTGCAACGACGTCCATCAAACAGCAACACTGGAAAGGACAATAAAACATATTTGGTCAACTATTACAATTCTATCTAGACGGAGAAACATTGCAATGGTATGGACATGTAATAAGATCTAACGGCTTTTCAACACCGTAATACAGTGCGCAGTTGAGGGGAGGAGGAGAAGAGGTAGACGAAGGAAGATCTAAATACAGAACTTGAGTGACTGGATAGGCCTTAGGCATGCAACCATGATGTCCATCGCATCTTACCGTCAAAGGCCAAGGGAATGGATCAGACAGTCAACAGAAACTGGTGGCCTAATGACACGCAATTTTACGGAATGATGATGATTACAGCGGTGCCGATTAATTCGTTAGTACCTGTCCTGTTCATCCTCTTGAACGAAGTTTTTCGGCAGGGACACAGATGAGTATCATTTATTTAGTGCATTATAGTCCTATGCAGTCACTTCATAGTTAGTGCATTTTTGTGTATGTGTGCTGTGTTGTTCTTTATGTGCTGTTGAAGGCTAATCGCCGCAACGTCCTTTGTTTGTTTATTGTGACTGATTTTGTAAAGCTGACATAAACTATTTTTTCTTTCTCACCCCTTTTTTTTCTCTTCCCTACAATGTCCTATCCTTTTAAAAACCACCTATAAGCAAGCATTATTGTTCCTCATTATGCCCTAAACATGTGTTACTTAATTCGAGGAATGCCATAGAGAAAATCTGGCAATTGTGCCGTTTTGATGAATTGTTATTAATGTCAAATCATTACTGCCGTAAGGAGCAGTAACATGGAGAACAGCTAATAGACTAAAAACACATTAACTGGTTCCTGCTCAGAAAACAGGGTTTAATGGTATCGTAAATCAATAATGTGGATCTGTGGGAGATAACTAATTCCGCTGAACGAAAAGTTGAGCAAAAGACATAGATATGATATAATACACTTTGAGAAAAAAAAAATGATAACAAAATAAATATAATACAATTTTTTTATCTGCACTTGAATCCACAGGTCTAAGGAGATAAAGACAAACCGAAAACACATAGAGAAGTAATTTAGAAAAAGATTGGCTACATGCGACAGCAAATGATAGGACAGCTTGACATGCCTATTACCACATAGGCTCCGTTAGGTGTTAAATGCAAAAGAAGAAGTAGAAGACGATAAGGAAGAAAAACACAGAAAATATGAAGAAGAAGACGACGAAGAAAAAGACAAGAAAGAGAAGAAGAAGACGAGTAAGAAGAATTATCTGTCTGTCTGTCTGTCTGTCTGTCTGTCTGTCTGTCTGTCTGTCTGTCTGTCTGTCTGTCTGTCTGTCTGTCTGTCTGTCTGTCTGTCTGTCTGTCTGTCTGTCTGCCTGCCTGCCTGCCTGCCTGCCTGCCTGCCTGCCTGCCTGCCTGCCTGTCTGTCTGTCTGTCTGTCTGTCTGTCTGTCTGTCTGTCTGTCTGTCTGTCTGTCTGTCTGTCTGTCTGTCTGTCTGTCTGTCTGTCTGTCTGTCTGTCTGTCTCTCTCTCTCTCCCTCTCTCTCTCTCCCATACATAAACACACAATAAACTGCAGCCTTACCTCCCGGACAATAAATATGGCTGATATTTGAAAACAAACTGTCCTGGCAAAAGAAGAACGATTGACAGTTGGGGGACGCTTGAAATCCCTTTGAGCTGCAGATCCCAGAAGTTCCACAAATAGTGTTTCCTGTTCCAATACTGAAATTAAAAATACAAATGCGTGTACTGTATAGCAAGAGAAACGGTTGGTCGAATGAATAAACTACCGGACTCTTATGCAGGAAACCCTGGTAAGAATTCTCCATAGGTGAAGGAATTCATTTTTTTTTTTTTTTTGGTTCTGTTGAGGGGAGAAATAATTATCATAACTTATACAGTCCGAGCTTAATCTACTAGCCCTAAATTCTCAGACTTGATATCCTCCACAGCCGTCTGTACCTACTTTACCCTCCATAGCCGACCGTACCCACGATACCCTCTACAGCTGACGTACCCACGATACCCTTTACAGCTGACGTACCCACGATACCCTTTACAGCTGACGTACCCACGATACCCTTTACAGCTGACGTACCCACGATACCCTTTACAGCTGACGTACCCACGATACCCTTTACAGCTGACGTACCCACGATACCCTCTACAGCTGACCGTACCCACGATACCCTCTACAGCTGACCGTACTTGCGATACTCTCCACAGCCGTCCGTACTTGCGATACTCTCCACAGCCGTCCGTACTTGCGATACTCTCCACAGCCGTCCGTACTTGCGATACTCTCCACAGCCGTCCGTACTTGCGATACTCTCCACAGCCGTCCGTACTTGCGATACTCTCCACAGCCGTCCGTACTTGCGATACTCTCCACAGCCGTCCGTACTTGCGATACTCTCCACAGCCGTCCGTACTTGCGATACTCTCCACAGCCGTCCGTACTTGCGATACTCTCCACAGCCGTCCGTACTTACGATACCCTCCACAGCCGACCGTACTTGCGATACTCTCCACAGCAGACCGTACTTGCGATACCCTCCACAGCCGTCCGTACTTGCGATACTCTCCACAGCCGTCCGTACTTGCGATACTCTCCACAGCAGACCGTACTTGCGATACCCTCCACAGCCGACCGTACTTGCGATACTCTCCACAGCCGACCGTACTTACGATACTCTCCACAGCAGACCGTACTTGCGATACTCTCCACAGCAGACCGTACTTGCGATACTCTCCACAGCCGACCGTACTTACGATACTCTCCACAGCAGACCGTACTTGCGATACTCTCCACAGCCGACCGTACTTGCGATACTCTCCACAGCCGACCGTACTTACGATACTCTCCCCAGCAGACCGTACTTGCGATACTCTCCACAGCCATCCGTACTTGCGATACTCTCCACAGCAGACCGTACTTGCGATACTCTCCACAGCCGACCGTACTTACGATACTCTCCACAGCCATCCGTACTTGCGATACTCTCCACGGCCATCCGTACTTGCGATACTCTCCACAGCCGACCTTACTTGCGATACTCTCCACAGCCATCCGTACTTGCGATACTCTCCACAGCCGACCGTACTTGCGATACTCTCCACAGCCGACCGTACTTGCGATACTCTCCACAGCCAACCGTACTTGCGATACTCTCCACAGCCGACCGTACTTGCGATACTCTCCACAGCCATCCGTACTTGCGATACTCTCCACAGCCGACCGTACTTGCGATATTCTCCACAGCAGACCGTACTTACGATACTCTCCACAGCCATCCGTACTTGCGATACTCTCCACAGCAGACCGTACTTACGATACTCTCCACAGCCATCCGTACTTGCGATACTCTCCACAGCCGACCGTACTTACGATACTCTCCACAGCCATCCGTACTTACGATACTCTCCACAGCCATCCGTACTTGCGATACTCTCCACAGCCGACCGTACTTGCGATACTCTCCACAGCCATCCGTACTTACGATACCCTCCACAGCCATCCGTACTTGCGATACTCTCCACAGCCGACCGTACTTACGATACTCTCCACAGCCATCCGTACTTGCGATACTCTCCACAGCCGACCGTACTTGCGATACTCTCCACAGCCGACCGTACTTGCGATACTCTCCACAGCCATCCGTACTTGCGATACTCTCCACAGCCGACCGTACTTGCGATACTCTCCACAGCCATCTGTACTTGCGATACTCTCCACAGCCATCCGTACTTGCGATACTCTCCACAGCCGACCGTACTTGCGATACTCTCCACAGCCATCCGTACTTGCGATACTCTCCACAGCCGACCGTACTTGCGATACTCTCCACAGCCGACCGTACTTGCGATACTCTCCACAGCCGACCGTACTTGCGATACTCTCCACAGCCGACCGTACTTGCGATACATTCCACAGCAGACCGTACTTGCGATACTCTCCACAGCCGACCGTACTTGCGATACTCTCCACAGCCGACCGTACTTACGATACTCTCCACAGTCGACCGTACTTGCGATACTCTCCACAGCCATCCGTACTTGCGATACTCTCTACAGCCATCCGTACTTGCGATACTCTCCACAGCAGACCGTACTTACGATACTCTCCACAGCCATCCGTACTTGCGATACTCTCCACAGCAGACCGTACTTGCGATACTCTCCACAGCCATCCGTACTTGCGATACTCTCCACAGCCATCCGTACTTGCGATACTCTCCACAGCCGACCGTACTTGCGATACCCTCCACAGCAGACCGTACTTACGATACCCTCCACAGCCATCCGTACTTGCGATACTCTCCACAGCAGACCGTACTTACGATACCCTCCACAGCCATCCGTACTTGCGATACTCTCCACAGCAGACCGTACTTGCGATACTCTCCACAGCCATCCGTACTTGCGATACTCTCCACAGCCGACCGTACTTGCGATACTCTCCACAGCAGACCGTACTTACGATACCCTCCACAGCCATCCGTACTAATGGTACCCTCCACAGCCATCCGTACTAATGGTACCCTCCACAGCCGACAATACCCATGATCCCCCCTCCCCCCACAGCCGTCGGTACCAATGATACCCTCCACAGCCATCTGTACCTATGATACCCCCCACAGCCGACCATACCCATGATCCCCTCCACAGCCGACTGTACCCACGATATCCCTCCACAGCCGTCCGTCCCCACGACACTCTCTACAGTCGCTCGTACCCACGATATCCCTCCACAGCCGGCCGTCCCCACGATACTCTCTACAGTCGCTCGTACCCACGATATCCCTCCACAGCCGACCATACCCTTACAACTTTGTACAGGCAGGAAACACTCAGTAACAGGTCTGCTTTTCCAGGGCTTTCTACTGCTCTTCTTAAGTCTGAGCTGGGGTTCGGTTTAGGGTAAATAAACCACAACAGCATTTTACATTTGGTGGTAAATACAAGATGCCCGTCATATCATTTACAAAACAAACAAATAATTTACGATGCAATATTTTTTTTTCTCCATTTTGATATTTAAAAATTTTAAATTTTAAACACAAATATACTGGGGCAGGCGAGGATTGCGAGGTAAAATGTAGCCAAATGCGGGTGCGTGTGCTGTGCCGTGTCATTTGGCACAAGACGGAGATGATCCAAATGCCGATGATGGTGATGACGATGGTGTTAAAAAGGATCATAACGGTGATGACGATGAAGGTGACGACTCTGAAGGTGACGACTCTGAAAGTGACGACGATGAAGATGACGAAGATGAGGGAGACGACGATGAAGGTGACGACGATGAAGATGAAGACGATGAAGGCAACGACGATGAAGGTGAAGACGATGAAGGTGAAGACGATGAAGGTGATGATAATGAAGGTGACGACGATGAACGTGACGACGATGAAGGTGACGACAATGAAAGTGACAACGATCACGTTACGATACTTGTGACGATGACGATGATGGTGACAACGATCACGCTGACGGTGACAGTGACGACGATGATGACAGTGACGACGATGGCGACAGTGACAACGATGATGACAGTGACGACGATGGTGACAGTGACGACGATGGTGACAGTGACGACGATGGTGACAGTGATAGTGACGACGATGATGACAGTGATGACGATGATGACAGTGACGACGATGATGACAGTGACGACGATGGTGACAGTGACGTCGATGATTACAGTGACGACGATGGTGACAGTGACGACGATGATGACAGTGACGACGATAATGACAGTGACGTCGATGATGACAGTGACGACGATGGTGACAGTGACGACGATGGTGACAGTGACGACGATGGTGACAGTGACGACGATGGTGACAGTGACGACGATGATGACAGTGATGACGATGATGACAGTGACGACGATGATGACAGTGATGACTATGATGACAGTGACGACGATGATGACAGTGACGACGATGATGACTATGACGTCGATGATGACAGTGACGACGATGATGACAGTGACGACGATGATGACAGTGACGACGATGATGACAGTGACGACGATGATGACAGTGACGACGATGATGACAGTTACGACGATGGTGACAGTTACGACGATGATGACAGTGACAACGATGGTAACAGTGACGACGATGGTGACAGTTACGACGATGATGATAATGACAACGATGGTAACAGTGACGACGATGATGACAATGACGACGATGATGACAGTGACGACGATGATGACAGTGACGACTATGATAGTGACGATGAGTATAATAAAGATGACGGCGATGACAATTATGGTGAGGATGCTGGTAATAAGGATAAAAGTTTCGACGATGATGGCAACGACTTTGGTGGAAACAAAGACGATGGTAACGTCTTCATGATGAAGAGGATAGTATCGACGATGAAGACCACGGTGATAACAACTGGGCTGATGAAGATCCATATTTTCAAACAAGACAAGCTGCTTACGGTTTACAAGTGAAGGAATCTCTCTCCACGACCGTTCCGTTCCCACAATTCACCTCAACCGGTTTTCCATTGGTGCAATTGGTGAAGCCGGTGCAGTTGAGCTGTATGTTCTTCCCATCAGGAGCTCCAGCACATGGATTCTCCTCCTGCCCGAGAGCTGTTGTTGGAAGAAAGGGAAAGGGAAAAAGGAGATTTGAGGAAGAAGTACAACTGGTTATTCCTGGTTAAACATAGAAAAAGCGGTGCATGACTCAACGAGTGCCGAGTGATCTATAATGAAATATATGAGTGTATCTATATGTGGGGAGCCGCCATGTTGTAGCGGCTAGACGCTCGTAAGGTACTGCCTACCCAAAAGCATGTCGTAAGAGTCGACTAAATTGGAGCTTCCTTCGAAGTGCATCTGCCTGAGAGGCAAGGAACCAGCAGTCTGCATAAAAATAAGTCAGATCGGTAAAACGTATGCACACGCAACACTCAGGTTCTGGAACAGAACAGCTGTCCAAAATTGGATGAACAATCAGAACTTTCCGCCAGAGTTTACAGCTGGTGAACGTGAAGAAGAAGCAGAAGGAGAAGATAATTGTTTGGCTGATTTGTGTGTGTGTGTGACAAATATACTTTCAATAGTTTGCCATCGCGTACCCAGCGGTCTGCTCCCGATACTAATTTGAAAACCAGCCCTAGCCGGTCTGCTGCCAAATCGCCCGCAGCTATGATCGAACCTGATACAGTGGACTTCTAAAGCTTTTTTCTTATAACAAGTTAGAAAAAAAAGATACGTCTCATCTGTTTAATCAGTTCTGTAGATATGTTTCAAATGTATGTGTATATAAGTTGTACCACACAAAGATATCACACAAAGCGATAAACACCAAGTGAAACAAAGTGCCACCATGCGGATGAAGATCACCCTTGTAGAGGTCACAGAAACCTCGTTCAGACGTAAGGCCATATTTATGGACCGGTTATATTTAGGGCCCCCGGCAAAAGCCAGGATGGGGCTTGAAATAATTGCATCTCACATGGAGACGCCATGGTTAATTGTTCAAATTTAAATTTAATCCGTACAATGGATTATTTAGGTTTACTGCCTTCCCTTTCCAACTAAGATATCTGTGGTGTGCCCGAGGGACCTGCTACTGTTTCTCCTTCATCCAACACATAAGATTGATTATCTAGTGTTCACTGGGGATTATATCGCTTTTCCCATATTTGAAAATAATCCGCATTGTGAGCAGCACGATTGTTATAGAGGTGAACGACATTTGGAGTGTCTAAGTGGTGGGGCTGACAGCGTCTGTCTGTCTGTCTGTCTGTCTGTCTGTCTGTCTGTCTGTCTGTCTGTCTGTCTGTCTGTCTGTCTGTCTGTCTGTCTGTCTGTCTGTCTGTCTGTCTGTCTGTCTGTCTGTCTGTCTGTCTGTCTGTCTGTCTGTCTGTCTGTCTGTCAGCCTGCCTGCCTGTCTGTCAGCCTGTCTGTCTGTCTGTCTGTCTGTCTGTCTGTCTGTCTGTCTGTCTGTCTGTCTGTCTGTCTGTCTGTCTGTCTGTCTGTCTGTCTGTCTCGTCCGTCTGTCTGTCTGTCTGTCTCGTCTGATTGTCTGCTGTCTGTCTGTCTTTTTGTCTCGTCTGTCTGTCTCGTCTGATTGTCTGCATCGTCTGTCTGTCTGTCGGTCTGTCTCGTCTGCCATCTTCTGTAAACGTGCTTAGTAGATATTTAAAGGAAACAAATGGATCAGGAAATGTAAATATATATATAAGTCCTTTCACCATCATGTGCCATACCGGTAAGCCTAGGTTGTCATGTTTTCCTCATCTCACTTTAATCATGGATCAGTTCAATGTTTTTCTCTCGCCCCATCCATCTGGATAGGCCATCTAGGTATTTATCTCTTTGCCTCCCTTTTACCTCTTCCTCTCTTTTCACCAATCTTCCCAGTTGTCACCAAGTCCATTTCTTCTCATAATATTTCTCAGAAATGTTTACTATCTACGCCTAAATTTTTAAAAAAGTTCACAACTTTCATCTATCTCGATGAGGATTGCTTCGTTTGCTCTTTCGCCTGTGTCTGTTTGGATCCAGTAGCAGGACAAGTGGAGACGACATGTGAGATGAAAAGAAAAAAAAAAAAAAAAAAACAAAAAAAAAAAAAAAAGACGAAAGAAAAAAAAAAAAAAAAAAAGGAAAGGGGAGGTGAAGTCAGGTGTATTGGATGACCAGGTTGTTCTACGTGCCACACCGTGCTCTTTACGCTCCACCAGCACGTAGCTGGTACTCGGTATCAGGTTCCTTGAACCACGACCGGCTCCAGCTGACGGGCCGTGCTGCTGATCTCACCGGGTCGGGCTTACGATGCGTTAACGCTGCGGTTCTCAAACAGGAAGGCTAACCATTTGACCACCACCCTCACCTGGTTTAACCAGCCTGTCAAACTGCAGCATGCTGGCTGGCGGCTACTCGGAGTCTCAGGTGAGAGCTGGCCGCCAGGCTTGAGCCAAAGGCAGGTGAACTGTCCTGAGACGGACATGACTAACCTCCAAAACCGGAGTTACTACCAATACATGGCATACCCCCACCCCTTTTTTTTTTTTTTAAACCACTGACAAGAAGAACGAAAAGATGTTTTTAACATTGAAAACTGCCAAAAACATAACCAATTACTGCCTTATTCATACCACTTTGCGGTGTAGGCAGGCGTGGGAGGTGGGGTGGGGGGGGGGGCCTTGAGCCTGAGGATTTACGGCCGTATGGCAAGTGCTGTCGCCACGACTGTGCAGGTGAGAATTTTTGTTTTGCCCCTGGCAGAAATAAATCTCCAGCCTTACCGAAGATTCGATCCCGGGTCTCCCGCGTGAACACGCAGCATTCTAATCGTTCGTCCAGCCGCTTTTCAACACTGAAAAGTAGAGGCCTCAAATTCTGGTACTTAAGGCGAAAAAAAAAAAGCTTCAGATATCAGATATCGTTTGAATACTGTAATAATCGATAAAAAAAAAATACTGTGTTTCATTATCGGAACTCTGGTAGCGTAGTGGTTAGACGTTAGCCTGCCGGCCCCTGTGTATAGTGTTCAAGTCTACACCGACGACGATTTTGTTTTCTAAATTTACCATGGCACCCAAGTCGATCCAACCTAAACGGGATGCTAGATAATATTAGAAGATGTAAAGCCGGCCGGCGTGAAGTTAAAAAAAACCTCACCTATCTTCTTTTTCTTCTATTTGTATTTAGTACTGGAATGCCGCGCTACTTCTGCCCCGCCCCCCCCCCAAGGGTTTGGGGGAGGGAGGGTGGGGGGGGGGGGGAGTACTTCATTAACAATCCTGCTCGTGTTGATTCTGGGTCCCCACTATAGGGAGAATAGACCCACTATCTCCTTGACAAGTTTAGTTGCGTATCCTTTACAGGACGTCGCAGAACCAACCCCAACAGCCCCTGGCTTTTGTATGGTTTTTCTAGGCAAATTTACGTCCAGTAGTTTGCCATTGCATCTGGACGGTCGGCTTTTTTGATACCACTGTCGAAACCAACGAAAGGCGCATGGCCCGCAGCTGGGATCGAACCCAGAATCCCGGCTTTACGAAGCGTTCGCATCGACTTAGCCACAGAACCCACCCCCGTGACAAGCAGGTTCTAAAAAACGATTAAATAGAGATGTTTTGATTGAAGTCGTAGTTCATCTGCCTGAGGTAACGAACCAATAGTCTGCATACAAAATAGATCTCTAAAAATGATGTGCATGCACAACTCCAGTTCTGGAATTAGAAACGACAGATTTTTTTAAAGTGGACGAACAACCGCAACTTTCCACGGAGGTTAACGGACTGTGAACGAGAAGAAGATTAATAATCCACAGACAAATACTCACTAACATACAGCGCCAATCCCCACACAGAGACCACCAAAGACAAATACTCACTAACATACAGCGCCAATCCCCACACACAGAGACCACAAAAGACAAATACTCACTAACATACAGCGCCAATCCCCACACACAGAGACCACAAAAGAAAAATACTCACTAACATACAACGCCAATCCATACAAACAGAGACCATCAAAGAGAAATACTAACATACAACGCCAGTCCCCACACACAGAGACCACCAAAGACAAATACTCACTAACATACACCGCCAGTTTCCACACACAGAGACCACTAAAGACAAATACTCACTTACATACAAGGCCAGTCCCCACACACAGAGACCACCAAAGACTTCTTCTTCTCCGTTCGACATCAGTCATGCTAAACATTGAGTCCCGTCTGGTTCACAAATAGGATCGTGCGTTTAAGGTCGCCACCGGTCCCCCATAGCTTCTCTTTCAATGTGGCTCCCTTGGGCCAGATCCACAGTCTTTGCTGGGAGAGGTTAGGGCAGTACTGCAGTATGTGCTCAGGGGTCTGTCTTTCTGCTCCACAATCACAGGCAGCAGATTCTTTTATGCCTATCCTGTACAGGTGTGCTCGAAGACCACAGTGTCCAGTCCAAAGTCTAAAAATTGTTGTTTGTTCTTTCCTGTTGAGTTTGTTTATGCTGTCACTCTCTGGTCTGTAATCTCCATTCTGCTTTCTCCACTCCCGCTTGAAAGACTGCTTTAGCGCTGTTTTGGTTTCCTTGTAGCTGTGTGGTGGATGAGGTTGTGGAAGATTACTCCCAGCTTTTGCCAACTCATCTGCTCTCTCATTTCCTTGAATACCACAGTGGGCTGTGAGACAAATACTCACTAACATACAACGCCAGTCCCCACACACAGATACTACCAAAGACAAATACTCACTAACATACAACGACAGTCCCCACACACAGAGACCACCAAAGACAAATACTCACTAACATACAACGCCAGTCCCCACATACAGAGACTACCAAAGACAAATACTCACAAACATACAACGCCAATCCCAACACACAGAGACCACCAAAGACAAAACTCACCAACATACAACACCAGTCCCCAAACACAGAGACCACCAAAGACAAATACTCACTAACATACAACGCCAATCCCCACACACAGAGACCACCAAAGACAAAACTCACTAACATACAACGCCAGTCCCCACATACAGAGACCACCAAAGACAAAACTCACCAACATACAACACCAGTCCCCAAACACAGAGACCACCAAAGACAAATACTCACTAACATACAACGCCAATCCCCACACACAGAGACCACCAAAGAGAAATCTGCTCATCAT